TTCTAAAATTCTAATTAATTGTATTCAATTTAATTCATGAAAAAGTAACGAGGTTGATGAAATGGAAATAGTTTTTAGAATTTAATGAATATCATTCGATTTAAATCGTTGAAAACTAGCCAGATTGAAGCAATGGACATGATTTCTAAACTTTAATGCATTGCTTCCGATTTGAATGACCGAAAAGTACCAAAATTCAGAACTTCATTCGGAATTCATTAAAATGCTTTGTTTATTTTGTTGTTTTATTTCTATCTTCGTGTTCTAATTATGCACCATATATCTACAATGTGAAAACAAAATTGATTCAATTTCTCAATATTTTCAGTTTATAAAAGCTCATTCAAACGTAAGTTTAAATTAACAAAATTTAACAAAATGTTCAGCGATGTTTCCAAGCAAACGTTTCATCTGATGTGTGTGCGCTCGAAATTCTATTTCTTCATTGTTAGAAATATGTTTACAAGTACCACGCATTTCTTTTTATACTTGATCGTGTTTTTGGTTGTCTGCTCGCAGCATTTCTTTGAGTATATCGACTAATAATTGATATTCCAAAAACGCAGGTGTATCTCTAGATAAATCGTTCATAGATCGCAGCTCAAACACAACAAAATTCCATGCAGTGTTTTGAGAAAGAGTAAAGTTTGTTTCGAATAAAGTTAAAGTGTAATTATTGTTGAATATTGCTTTAAAAAGAGCGTATTTTGAATTAAGGCAGAATATAAATATAAAATGTGTTTAACGAATTATAATATAAATATCTTTAACATGGAATTTTTGCATGTATACGTCAAAAAAGAAACTTTTGAAGTATCACCACTATCTCTTGTTGTAATATTTAAACAATAGTACGCATTAAAAAACGCAGATTATACGTACAAACATTTTCTTGTCCTCACACTTTTTCCGAAACTCACAAAAAAAATGAAACTTTAGGACAAAAAAAACGTGTTACATCTTTTCACATTTTTATTCTAGCGTGTTTATTGATCACGCAGCATTTACTGGATCGCTTATATACGGTGTTCGCTGTTTACATGGTGAGAAATTGTTGTTCAATTTGTTTGTTATAATGTCAGCAAGATGAATTATTAGAAAAATATTATGCGGACCATCCCTAATATTTTAAATACCATCTAAACGTTGTTCTACATCTTTATCAATATTATTCTACTGATTATGATCGTCACGGCCCTTTATTAACGAACAGTACATTTGTACAAGAAAGCTTGATAGATACATTGTAACGTTGCAAATTATTTATGGAAAATGCACGTGGAATTTCAAAGAGTACCTGTGTGAATTCCCCGAGGATTTTCCAGTTTATAGAAAATCGAATTTTTAACAATCTAGAAAATCTTTCTTCACTTGCCATAAATAATTTCCAAGAATCTGGAAATTACTTCTTGATTTTTTGTTAGAAAATCGTCGTTGAATTTCCATTGAATTTTCAAGAACGGCTTGTCCAAATGTTACGGAATTACTTTTTTTCAACTTTCGCGTGCCATAACTTATCTGAGAATGATCCAAATGCAATGACGCTTTTACCAGAGGTAGACAGTACCGAGTTTTATCACGTCCGAAAATTTCGTTGAGTTTGGATCATCCCATAGAGAGTTATTAAAAAAATAACGGTCGTTACGGAATTACCGAAAATGGACAATTTTTTTCAGTGATGTCTAAGTTTTACATTTTTCTGCTCAATGAAATGAAAGCTTTTTTGAGATGTGTTCTGAAGCAAAGTTGTGTAGCTTGAAACCAGCTTTCAGAATATCCACTTGGTTTTCGATTAGAATCGCTAGATGATATAAAAATTTGAAAACAGAGCCCGTTACGGAATTATAGCTTTTTTTGGTTCTCTCAAATCAGAATGTTAAACTCTATTACAAAAGTCGTCATAGAAAAATATTTCCGATAACAGTAGACAGTATCTGATCTGATCTTTCCGATGCACTGTAGAAAAACGTTCTGAAATCGTTTTGACTTGGAGAAAAATCCATTTCTTGGAAAGCACCTAAACTCAAAAATAAATACACTATCTTGTAGAGAATTTAATTCTCCACAAAATATCATATCTCTTAATTTTTTTCTCGAAAATATTTAGGTCAGGAAATTAAAAATAAAGTCTGAATTTAATTTTTTGGAAATTTTAAGTTGATATTCGAAATCAGCTTCAAAAACTACGTTAGACTATGTGCTTCACAAATTCTTAAAGTTAAAAAAAAATTTTCGAACCAGCTGGACAGGCCGAGAAAGCAGAAATTCCTTTTAGATTTTCTATAAACTGGAAATTCCTTGGCGGATTTGCATCGAGTGGCAACACGACCAAGTTATATGGCGGTTGATCCCGCTCATGCTTTTTGGAAAATTCCTGGTAAACGTCTCCGATTTTCAGGCCTTCGTACCGAAATTTCGCGCCGTCACTGTCTCTGTCTAAATCAAAATTCGTGCTAGCATAGACAGAATTATGAACTAAAGTAGAAACTGTCAAAGTTGATTTAAGTGTAATATAAGTGTCTTTACGTGAAGCGGATTTTCTAGTTTATAAAAAATCAAAATCGATTTTTCAAATTCTTGGAAATTATTTATAGAAATTCGATTAATTTTCTATAAACCAGAAAATCTCCGACGATTCCAGTTTATAGAATATCCTCAGCGATTCTCCATCTTTATAGAAAATCGAATTTATGAAAAATCAAGTCGATTTTCTATAAACTGAAAATTAATTCAAAATTACAGTGTACCTGTTCAAAAACAGTAAAAATGCAGCAATTCGAAAAAGAAATGAAAGAAAACGATATTTATCTATGTTTATGGTTAGAGAGATAAGCGTGATTTGGATTTTATATGTTTACAACTTTGCTCGAAGAGCAGTAGACTCTTTCTCATTCTAATAATTGCATATTCTTGCATTGTCTTTGTAAATATATACTAAAATTTGTTATATTTTTAATAGAAGATTAATATCAGTTCTATTTGCTTAACATTTTATTATACGACCGACAATTTGTTTTAGCAAGTAATTCGAAGGCTACGTAAAATAACAGGATGTATCTTGAGCAGTGAAGTTTGACGACTGAGATATTTTGGTGAGTGATAACTCTTCTTAGCGATGAAGAATTTAAAAAGTATTTCTTAAAAGGTTCTCTACAGTTTGATAAATGTTTGGAACAAGGTCGTTGTACTAGTTAAACGGTCACATACTACACTGATAGAAGGAACTATTTTCCAGTTTATGGAAATTCGATGTAGAAAGTCAGTAGCTGTTTTCGAGCATGTATGAAATGTTCAACGATTTTTAAGCAAAAACGGAAAATGCATACATATTTTCTTTTTTCTAGAAAATGAATTTGATTTTCTGTAAAATCGACTTTTTACTGCGTAGGAAAACGATTAGCAATTTTCTCTTATATAAAAACTCCTTTTTCATTTAATTGAAAGGCGAAAACTCTTGTTATTTTTTAAAAAGCTGTTCTATTTTTTGAAAAATTGACTAACTTTCTCGAAAATGAAGTAACAAAACATAAAAAATGATTCGATTTTCTAATGTTTTTTCACAAATTAGAAAATGGACGGCTGTTCTAAAGACTCTAACGATTGACCGGTCGAAAAGAAGGGATATGAAAGAGTTCTAGGACTTTAATAATATTCTCTTTTCTTTTCTGTTCACACACGATTGATTAAAATCCTTATCAAGTAGATATACCTTTACTTGTTCTACTCTTAATAATCATTTCTTCAGCAAAAAAAATTTGTTTTTTTGTTTCTTTCGCCCATCGTGTCATATACTCTTGCTCTAACCACTTGGATATTTTTTAGCAGATATGTAGATCAGATATCGCCCGATCTTAGGCGTATTTTCCAACATTAGACTTGTATGAGAAGTTACGGAGTGACAATATTGCCTTTGGAACATCGACCAGGTACACCTTAGTAGACTCATTGATAGAACTGATTTATACATAGGAAGATGCTATCAGGTCCTAGATACAAGACACTGGAAGCCGTAGATATTCATCTTGTTCCGACAAAAACTTATAAGGAAAATGACCGCCGCCACTTTATTTCGATAGATAATATTGATAAAATTATATATGTACAGGGCACTTAACAGGAAGACACAAGAAAAGATAAAAAAGGTTAGAAAGAACGTTTACAACACACAACTGTTAGAGTTTTACCTTCACATTGAGAGATTTTTTGAGCAACTTATGCCGGTAAAAGTCTGATAAAAAGCATGTTTTTCACTGTTTCATTGGAAAACTAGTTTTGTAGCAAATTCTTTTATAGGTTAATTTCTTTAGAATGTCGAGGTGCCTGCCAGTAGCGATCCTGCAGGCCAGTAGTCTTTGAAAAATCGAATTATGGGTATTATGCAATCGAAAAAATTGCTCGTAAAATTACAAAATATACCTTATCATTAAACTAACTCTAAACATACTGAGACTAAGTCCATATATGCATCTTGATGTGCTCTATCGCATGGCGTTTGAATTTAGTGTCTAGATTGAAAATTCAGGTTTCTGTAGAATTTTTGAATTTTGGGCCGCTGACCGCGAAAAGGTCTTGAGAAAATTTTACAGACGACGTTTTCCAGTTGAAATTTCTCAAACTCCTATGTTTGTTCAGTTTTCAAGTCTCTGTCGACCAGTTCTTTTCACCTTTCATAAGCAGAGTTAATTAAATTTTAAAAGAGTTCAGAATTTAAAATTTAAAAATTAATTGAAACATTCAGATTTTGAGTTGGAGACTTGAACTTTTTTAAAAATGTTCGTCTTTCGACGTTGATTCCGAATATCACCTTCGAATCTTATTTCTGACGCTCAGTGTTCTTGTAAAAGTCGTTTTTTCCGGTATCTATAGTTCGAAAGTCACGGTTATCTAGAAACCCTACTTCCGAGCATTTTTGAAAAACGTTTCCGGTTGACAAAAGTAAGAAGAGCTCGAGAAACCCTTAAGCGACGAGTTTCAATAGCACTACATCAGTAGTTTAGGGGATGGATTTTTCATGTTAAAGGCCTATTCATTGAAATTCAAACATCTTTGAATTGTGGACGAGAAAGAAGGCTACGCAAGTGAGTGATCGAATCATTTTTTTCTGCTGTGCTGATAGGTAGGAGGAGAAATAACTGAAATGTGAAAGAAAGGAAAATGCTCGCCAACGAAGTAAGGAGAAAAAATGTAAAAAAAAATGTGTTTTTCATCTTTTATTTGAGTATCTTATCTTTTTAATATCTTACTTTGAAGTACTCTGTTATACTGACTTTGGAAAAAAAAGATAGAAATAACATTTTATTTTAATCGATCGGTTTCCTTGATAGTATTTTACTTCTTGCTCCAAGTCAACAATTAATGCGAATTGTAACTTGGCTGCTGTTGATAGGATTGGTAACCAGTCAATCTTTAATAAATATACCGAGTAATTCAACTTGGAGTAGATGTGCAATAACAATCGCTGGTAGCGCGAATGGAACAGGGTTTTTAGATTTAGGTCTTGCGTTCTTGCGTTATCCTCGAGGTATATTTCTTGACCGTAATAATACATTGTACGTAGCTGATAGCGATAATAATCGTATTGTTCCATGGAAAGAGGGAGCAACGACTGAAGTCTTTATCGCACCAGTCATAAATCCTGTAGCCATTTATGTTGATTATGAAAGAGTTATTTATGTTTCTGATCAGACTGCGGTATTGAAATACAATCGAAGTGCCAGTGACGATATGTGGGTCTTAGTTGCTGGTAATTGGGTACTGGGTAGTGCAGCCAATCAACTCTATTATCCAACGAGTATATATATAGATGAACAAAATCAAAATCTCTATGTAGCTGATTTGCAAAATCATCGTATAGTCATGTTTCTAATGAATAGCAGCGTGACAAGCGGTATTGTAATTGCTGGTATCAGTTCGACATCCGGTAACGGCAGTATCCATCTAAATGCTCCAAATGGTTTATTTGTCGATCAAGTGCACAATTTTCTGTATGTCGCAGAAACCACCGTATTCAGCGATTTCAAATTGGTAATCTAACTGGTGTAACAGTTGCTGAAAACGGAATTGGGGGTAATACCTTATTCCAGTTATTCAGTCCAACTGCAGTTGCGGTGTCCTTGAATGGTGATATTTATGTATCAGATACACAGAATTATCGTATTATGAAATGAACAAAGAACTATATAGAAGGCGGATCGTGAGTTGCCGGTTGCAGAGAAGGAAGATCTGAATCTATACAATCAGACCATTTATATTATCCGACCGGTTTAATTTTTGATTCAAATAATAATTTAATCGTTTGTGACTCCACGAACAGCCGTGTACAAAAATTCTTTATTTCAATTGACATTTGTAGTGAGTACAATAGATTTATTTCCTGAGAAAACTTGCGGCGTTTTCACTTGTTGAGATTCAATAAGCGTATAATATTCAGCAGTCCACTAGCAGACAGCATCTGTTTTCGCTCTATGTTTGTAAAAACACGAGTTGCTATCGTTCTCACTTCATAGACATCGCTATATCAACAGTTCAGACAACTTCTACTACTGCTGCAACCACTCCAAGCAAAACAACAACAACTCAGAGACGCTGGATAACAACACCATTCAGTTCAACACGTTTTTCTACAACGAATCAACCACTGATGACCCAACAAAGTATGCACTCATCATGCAGTATAACTCTAGAGTCTATGGATGTTTTCTCATTATAGATTTACCTATCCAGTTAAACTATACAATTGCTTTATCAACTGATATCAGCTTATTAGTTATACCCAGCGCTAGTTATCCAAACATAGCAGCACTAGTAAGCCTGTTATACCAATATCTGTGAGCCAGTACTAATTTTTTTCATTTCATAATTCTAGATCATGGGTAGTTTAATTAACATATACAATCAGACGACGGTCGTAATCTGGGAGGCGTACATTGTCCAAAATGGTGATATCTATTATCTTTATGTTAATGCTACACTACAACTTCCATTCTTGTGCCCCAGTGAATCAAGCTGCCAGAATTCGATACAAACAGCCTTAGAGGAAACACCTTTAACTACTTTAACATTGTCGACAGAAAATGGACAAGTTATTGATATACTAGTTGAAAAGCCAACGATGCAAGGTAGAACTGAATAATAGTAAAGAATTCTCCGGTATGAAAAGTAGCTAATTTCTTATTTCTAGGCTTAAAACCGTCCTTACTACATGGAAAATGTAATCGTATTGACGTAATTGTGGGACTCGTATTGGCAACACTAAGTTTACACGTCTACATAAATGCACTGCCTCCTGTATAAGCATAAGACTCGAATATAACACACAGTACGAAACTAATCGGATATTGGGTGACTCAAATGAAAATTAACTTTTCACGAACTTCAATGGCGATTTATACAAGTCAATAGATACTCTGCTTCTTACTTTCATAAATTGCTTATTGTCTTTTTTTTTTTCAAGGAAAAGACTTTTTTGCACCTTTTAAAAAGGCTTTTTCTTGTAAAAAGAAAAGAAGTCTCTTTTCTTTCTTTTGGAAAAGAAAATGTGCCGCTTTCCTTTTTCTAAGAATCGAAAAGATATGGATTATATCTTTACTCTTTACTTTTAATATAAAGGATACCACTTTATCGTTACTCAGGAAAGAAATGGGAAAGTGCCACTCCTAGTCAAAAACGGTCACCGGAAAAACCTGAAAATTTTTCTTTTAAAATCCATTGAAATAAACGCAATCCTTTTCTACGGTTTGTCCACCTAACTGCCTCCATTTTTTGCTCTTTTTCGAAAAGCTATTGCAATAAAGCTACAAATTAATCCAAAATGGAAACTAGATGATTAAGTAGATTAAACATTTCTCTACAAAATGAACAATGCCTCGGCTCTGAACATTGATTCGTTATGAAAATACAGATGTTGTGATACAGCGTTACCGTTTTTCTGTTTTTTCTTGGATTAATACAGAAGCGATTCTAGGCACTGTTTGTGCAATAGCTGTATTTTCATAACGAATCAACGTTCAGAGCCGAGATATTGTTCATTTTGTAGAGAAATGTTTAATCTACTTAATCATCCAGTTTCCATTTTGGATTAGATTGTAGGTTTATTGCAATAACTTTTCGAAAAAGAGCAAAAAATGGGACCGTTAGCTTCACAAGCCGTCTACCAACTCTTATAATTATATAATTTTAAAAGTTGGTAGAAAAGAATAGCGACCGCAGAGTGAAGGAAAGGTCGTCATTCAAGAATAAGATGATATTTGTAATCTGCGTAAAATTCTCTTTCTATTCCATGTCTTTTCGTTTTCTCAAAAATTTCGCAAAGACGAATATCGGGAACTTCGCAAAAACATCTCTGAAAAATCGAACTTTAATGTTAAGAATCTACGGTTTGTGCCGATCGATAGAAAATTGCATTCTGCATCTATCTCTTAAACCAGAAAAATGTTTTAGTTGACGGAAGTGGCTAAACTGCAAGATAACTTTCGAAAAATGTTTTCCGAAAAACCTTAGAAAATCCGAAGTTTTTGACGTTTTCCTCCTTCTCTATGCGCTGTGGAAGCTTCATTTATACATATTCAGATACAAAGTTAAATTCTGCGTCGAATGATGTATAACAATGGGGTATAAAACAGATATTTTCAGGCTTTTCCAAGGACCGGTGACGGTTTTTGACAAGAGGCCTGCGAGTTTTTTCCAGCATTTCCCCGAAAATTCGACGACGGTTCATAGTAGTACTCTGGATCTACTTAACGAAACTGTAGAGAGCCCTTCAAACGGACCACCTTCGGTTGCAAAAACCTCTTTGCAAAGCGGCCGATAACGTTTTGTCTATATCTAAAGAATAAACACAAGAAATAGGACTCGCATTTTTCTATTGCTGGCAAAAGTAAGAAAAAAGACTTACTACACAAGAGTAAACACTAAGACAAATTTTTTACGTACAGCCAACGAAGGAAATGTAGCGGTTTTGCAAACACCTTTTTAGGGATGGTGCTTTACTTTGATTTCTCTGATAAAACAAAATATAGAACTTAACCAAAGTATGAGAGAGACACAACGTTATTTACTTTTTAAAGTAGTAACAGTAGAACAAGACTTAAAGTAAACAAAAGTACATGAAAGTTTTTTTGATATTTAGTTTCTCTAACTTTTTGATTTTGATAGTGACAACAACAGAAGAAACCCTTGTCAACAAACCACATGATCATTTTTTTTGTTTTGATACACATAAACCAAAATGACAGAACTATAAACAATTTGTTGGAGACAATGATCTGATTCAGTAGTACGGGCTTCTTTCGTATGACGATAGACTAAATGTAATAGCCAAAAGAGAGCGAAATGCAGGCTAGCGTGACAATTATTCCCCATACTCTGTATGATCAGTGAAACAAATCAAAGGGTTAGAGAAACTAAATATCAAAGAACATTCCATGTACTTTTATTTACCTTAAGTCTTGTTTTACTGTTATTACTTTAAAAAGTAAATAACGTTGTGTCTCACTTCATACTTTGGTTAAGTTCTATATTTTGTTTATATCAGAAAAATCAAAGTAAAGCACCATCCCTAAAAAAAGTGTATGAGAAAATGTTCAATAGAGTTCGTACGTTATTTGTTGATTCTAGGGAATCCATCACTTTTGTATCGGCACTTTTTTCCGATACGTGAACTTTCCATTTGAAAATTTATTTATTTATTTGGCTCTGTCTATCGTTAGTAATTTTACAGAACAAAGATCGCGTTCGTTTCTGTTTAAGAGAGAGACAAAGATTTCGAAGTTACCATATCAATAAACTCGATCAGGGATCATGAAGCAAAAATAACTTTTTTGCCTTTATTTCACTCTCAAAAATTAGAAAAAGATTTTAGCGTTAAAGTTCAACATATGACATGAACAAGTACGTGTAGATTGATGGAATGTGACCATTTGTAAATTGTAATGCTTCAAAATTTATTTTATTCTATTGTGTATATTCAGCACCACGGTATATCTGGTGTCACCGATGCCAGTAGAGAAAGAGAAATAACTTTCACGTGATGTACAGGGTGGCCCATAAGTTCTGATACAAAAGTTAACTTGGTATTTATCCTAGAAAAGCAAAAGCAATAAACTGGAAATCAATATAAGCAAGAGGAGGCCGATTTGAATAAACTAAATTTATTTTAAATCTTTATTGACTAATAAATAAAGTATTAAAAAGTAAATCCCCATTCTCTTATTTGTTTCTATTTTATACGAGTTTTATTTTGTATCAGAACTTATGGGCCACCCTGTATGAAATAGCTGTAATCACATTACATTAAAATGAACTTTGTTTTCTCTGTAAATGCCTAAAAAAATAAAAATGATTTATATCTAATACCAAAACAATCATTTATTTATCTTTTCCTTGTCTTCCAAGCACTTAATACTATTATCAGAGCTACACTTAAACAGTATACATACATAAAAACATTCTCTTATTTTCAATAATAATGACTTTCCAAAAAGATCGGTAGTGAGTTAAGCATGGAATAGTCCAAGGTGTCTACTACCCAAATTCGTGAAAGACAGATCTTCACAAAAGATTCCAGAGAATTTTAAGAAAGTTTTTGCAAGCTTTAGAAAACTGACTTTTTCAAAAATTGATTTAAATTGATAGAAAACCTGAGCCATGACTTTTATCGGCGATACGAGATTAAAGAGCAAATAGCCCGAGCGCTCCAGCTGCTTTCTGAGAAATCTGCTAGATGGTAGATGTGCCATTTCAACCCATATTTGAGCAATATCTCTGTGATACATGAAGTCTCAAAACTTATACCGTAAATATTCCTCAACTTTTTTTTCTTTGTCGTTCTTTTCAACCTAATTTTTTCTGGTTTGCCAATTGTCAATTTATAAGAGCCATTGTACATAAGCCACGATCGATGGTGTTCGATTAATGCTCCCAAAACTTTTTCAAACGAGGGGCCTCTTTTAGATCAAACATTCTGCTGAATTTTGGAGAAAGGCCCAAGTCAAAAGTTGTATCGTTGCTGAGATATTGAAATGTCACGGAAAGTCCGGAAAAACCCCACTAACTTTCACACACGTTTCTAATGGGGTAATCGGAAACATTTGAAAATTTCTCAGCGTTTACCTTTTTAATTAGAGCTCAGGCTAATTAATAAGTAGAGCTTGGAGATTCTCACCATCTGTAGAGCAATAACTGATCTATTTACGTGTGCAAAAATTATTAATTAGTATCATTGGCTTAACGGGAAAACTGTTTTTTGCTAATGAATTATTTCCCGTGTAAAATACATGGCGTATCCAATTACCCCATCAATTTCTATTGTTGTTTCCAATTGCCGCAAGTGGAGTAATTGGAAATGTTCGTTAGCGCTTTCGGCAAAACACCGGGAAATTCGCCTGGGGCACGGCGTTTTTGAAAATTTTTAGATAGGCTTATAGAGAATTTCCTCCTCTACCTACCTGTAAAAAGGGAGCAAAAAGATAATTAAAATAAACAAAGTTATACGAATTAGAAGTTCAAAGAGCCAAAAATCGTTTTCAATTGCCCCAGTTTACTCTAGCAGTTTTCGTCATTTCTGCTCACTGTGTTCTTGTGCAAAAGGATATAAGAGATAAAACAACATGAATGATTATCGCGTCCGACAAAATATGAAAAATCACAGCGAAACTAATAACCAAGTCAGATCAGCGGTGACAAGAGTGTTGAGAAAGGATTCTAAAGAAGAACAAACACCGAAAAATGGACGTGTGAATCAAAGTCAGTAAAATGAACCTAAATTTGCGTGCACTGTTATGAACATGAACAAGTATTTATAGTTAATTTGGCAATATTTCCTAAGTAACGGTTCTTAAAGTCAGGACAAGAATGAAGCAGAAGAAACCTTTATTATGTTTATTGATTGGTCTTCTTTCGCTATGTCGGACATAGCAAATCGGGCAAATTATTTTGCGTCCGGTTTTGAAGGAAACAGTATACATATTCTGTTATATACAGGGTAGCCCATAAGTCCTGATACGATTTGTATAATAATTTTTCTAAAGTAAAACACATGTTTGTAAATTTCTCTCTATGATGAAAAGACGCAGTAAAACACGCTCTACAAAATAGCTTTTAACTGACCTC